CCCCCCCCCCCCACTCCTCGTTTTGGGAGCCTACGACTAGGCGAGCCTGTGGAGCACAGCAAAGGGAGCTATCTGCGGCGGCTCCGCTGTACCCGGACGGAGATAAGATGGAACGAGTCAAGGTATATCTCGTCGTACGGAGTAGATGAGCGACGGCTTGCCTGGCGTAGAAGTACAGGACTTGCTGTCAGCATCTGTTCGAAAGTGCGTTGTAGTTCGCATTCTCAAGGTCTGTTCCTCTCCTCAGAGTGCGGAAACACGACGGTAATAGAGCTGCTGTGTCATGATGATGTGTGTACGCGAGTCGGGGTGTGTACACGCGGCGAGACGCGACCATTTGTCTGCACGAGCTTCTTTCGACTCACCCGGTGACCATTCGCGGTCTGTGGCCCAAGCTTTTGCATACAAACACACACAGGCACGCCTGGAATTGAAGCTGTTGACAACCGCAACTTTTGCCGCTTGTGTCCAGCAGCCGACAGCATCGCAGACCCCCAGTGGGAAGCGGAGGCAACAGCTCCTTCTGGGGCGGTCCTCGCAGCGCAGCCGTCTGCAGTGGCCCCTCCTCCGCGCCCTGGCGGCGGCGCTGGTCTACCTAGCCACTGCCACGGGGGCTGCGGCGGCCAACACAACACCGGCGGCAAGGCTGCGACTGAACGGCGGCGGCAGCAGCAGCCAGCAACGGGGAGGGGCTCGCCCCGCCGCCGCCGGCAGCGGTGTTGGTGTTCCTAGAGGCCGCCATCAAGAGCGACGAAAGCAGTCGGGAACCAGAGAGGGTGGTGGCAGTGCGTGGGTGGGGTCGTCACCGTCAGTTTGGGGTCGCCGCCGCGGCGGCGGCGGCGGTGGTGGCCGACGTTTGGGCTCAAGGAGAGACGCCGCTGCTGCTGCTGCTGCTGCTGCTGCTGCTGCTGCTACTGCACTCTCATCGTCAAGAGGAGGAGGCTTGGCATTCTTGCCGATGATCTCCGGGCTTGGGGCGCAGGGGTGGCGTCGAGAGCAACAGCGGTCTTGTCTTCCCCCTATTTGCGCGTTGAGGGCGGAAGCAGCGGAGGCGGCCGCTGGGCGGCGGCGGGTGTGGAGGCCCCGACGGGGAGCGGCGGCGGTGGCAACACGGGCGTTGACGGAGGACGGGGAAGCGGCGGAGACGGCGGGCGGGGCGGGGGCGGCAGGAGGAGGGGGGGCGGCGAAGTTGACAATGAGGAGACGGCAAAGGAGAGGCTCCGGGAAGGACGTCGGCGACTGGAGGCCGTCGCTGTACATGAGGGTGAGGGGCGTGTTGTCAGGGGGCCTACTGCTGCAGTGTGCAGGTCCCCTTCACCACGGGTGCTATGCTGCGGTAGAGTATCCTCAACGTCTGTCTGTCTACGATGATTACATCTCTCATCTCTACCTTTTCTCATTGGTGTCGGCGAGGAGGTATCTGCTTTTGGTTGTTCAGAACTCGGGTTCATATCCGCCACTGACTTTCGTCACAATTGCTTCATTTCAAAATAGCTGCTCCGAAGGACGCCGCGCTCCCGCGTTCTGGCCAAGTTAGAGCGACCATACCAGGCAATACCGTTGATAGGTCGCACAAGATAGCACACCTCCTTTGATCAAGTTTCAAAGCTCGATTACACCATGAAGAGGACGCCTAAACTTGGATGGTAGGTTTTCGGAAAGCTTTCCACACTATGTGAGCTTTCGACGAGACGGTTACAATGCCACCGCCTTTTCGGCACTGTCACTCTGTGCTGGAGGGTTGGAGGAGAAAATATGGTCGGTGATTCGTTTCGAGACTTTTTGATGCGAGCAGGCTTGAAGGGCTTGAATGCCTTGCAAACAGACAGACAAAAAGACAATCAGACAAATGTGAGACTCGACGCCAGACCAAAACAAAACGGTGAGGATGAGAAGCCTCCAACGTTGCACAGTACACGGGATGCTCAGTCGATACAGAATGCGCGCGCGGCTGAATAGACCTTGTGCAAAACTGTTGGACCTCTCTCTCTCTGTGTCTTATTGTTGTGGCGATTGCGGTGCAATTGCACGTGTTTCATCTCTTGTTTTCACTTGAGACACTCAAATTCTAAGTGCAGGATTTGTTTTGGCGTCCCCCCCTCAACAACTTGAGGTGGCGATCGCGGTGCAATTGCACGTGTTTCATCTCTTGTTTTCACTTGAGCAAATCCAAATTCTAAGTGCAGGATTTGTTTTGGCGTCCCCCCCCCAACAACTTGAGGTCGTCTCAGCGACGATGATGTTAGCATGGCCACATGGGTCAATTTCTGACATGACGTGCAACGCAATCACAACCCCCCCGCCCCCCCCCGACCGCAACACAAACCTCGCAGTAGAGATCGCAAAAGACTGCTCGTGGAATGCACACATGTCCAAGGTAGCGGAAAAGGGCAAAGCACGAGCAGGGAAGCTGCACCCAATAATCGCAAACCGGCACTTCGATACACGCATCAAATTGACGGCTTGGAGGAGCGTAGTCGTACCGCCGCTAGAGTACGCCGGAGAAAAGTATGGGAAAGAAATAAAGAAGGTAGTGAAAAAACTCGAGGCAGCGCAGATGAAAGCAGCGAAAATCATCTAGAATGCTCCAATCGCACAAGTAGTGCAGCCGTCATGGAAAAATTGGGGATCCAATCCTTACGCTCGGGAAGAGACGCAAGGAAGCTGACATGGCAGTATCGCATGTGCGAGATGGGAGAGGAGAGGTTGCCGAGAATTGTATGGGAGGCGAAGTGGGCAAACAAAAAGAGGGGTAGACAACCCACGGAATGGGTCAAGGTTGTAGAGNGCGAGATGGGAGAGGAGAGGTTGCCGAGAATAATCTGGGAGGCGAAGTGGGCAAACAAAAAGAGGAGTAGACAATCCACGGAATGGGTCAAGGTTGTAGAGGAAGTACATATGGAAGGGGTCCGGCATCGACGAGGATGAAACGCTGAAAACGGAGGATCTAAAGGGGTTCAAGGAGAAGATATCTGTTGCTTGTGCCGAGAGAGAAGAGCAGAATCGAGCCAAAGAAACCGAGGATGAGGAGAGTCTATAAGTGTACGGAATGTTGAAAGAAGGAATAGGGTTCAAGGATTACCTACATGGACCAATGGATGCAGGGACAAAGCTCAAGGTCAAATTCGGGACCGGGGAGATAGGCCTTCGAGAACGTCGGCGAAGACATAGGACGGTAGACGACGAAGACGACAAGTTCAGATGAGATGGCGGCTCCGGGTGCGAAGACGGGGTTCATGAAGTTGCGGAATGCCAGTTGCACGAAAAGGAGAGGGAAGTGTACGTGACTGAGCTGGGAAAAATGGAAAGGAGGTACAGGGAGATGTTTGAGGCATGGAATAGAGAGAAGACGGTAGCTGTACCGGGCTTTTAGGAAGCGGTTTGAATAGGCGGGAAGTGATATCGTAAACGATAGATAGACTAGAGAATACATATTTGAGCCACCTTTCGCAAAGTAGGAAGGAACAATTGGCCATCGGTGATGGGTTCTGTGGGAACAATGCTCCGTCCTCTCGAGGACGAATGGTCACTGGTCCAACCGCTAAGGCATGCAAAACATAAGAGTACACCTTCCCCCTCCCCCCCCCCGACACCGACGTCCCCCCGCCTTGAAAGCAATGCTTGGTAAGCGGCAAATGGTAAGGATTTGGTTGAACGGCGTGCAAGGCAGGCAACACACTACCCCCCCCGTCCCCCCGAATCGCTCGTTCCACAGGAGGGGTTGTTCCAGGCTCTGCCGTTCCCTGTTCGCATCACGGTGATGGGGGGAGGCAACTTCGGCCTTGCTCTCAGCCTCGTGCTAGCTAGAAATCAGGTGCGAGGGGGTCATTTTTTTTTTTTTTTTTTT